GAGATCCAGAGTGGCACTGACGTCCAAGATTGGTGGTGGATTCTGGGGCCAGCAAACATAGCAGAAATCATCACCAGAGGGACTAGTCCAAACGTCTTAACTGAAAACTCTGAGTGGCAGTCCGGTCCAAAGTTTCTCCAACTTCCTGATGACGAGTGGCCAACGAAATCTGCCAGAGACGTTGTTGCCCATGCTCGAGAGAAAGTAACTAGGGTCCGGAAAAAGACATTTGTAGCAGTACTCACCAGAAACCACTTGAAACCAGCTAATGATCCAGCCTATATATGTTCTAGAAGACCACCAGCGGGGGCAAAAACCCGAAAACTAGTTGACGAAAGGCGTTTCAGCAACCTGGCTGTGGCATGGATCTGGAGAGCGGCCAAAAAGTTCCGAAATGCCAAGACCACAGATCAAGAAAGGTGGGAGGTAGTGCCTTCCTTGGGTGTCCTTACAGTCAATGAGAGACGAGATGCATTTCGAGACCTTTGCCTTTGCACTACAACGGACAGGTTAGTCGTCTACAGAGATCAAACAAGTGGACTTCTAGTGTGTGGGGGCAGAATTCAGACCTTCAGAGAAGACCGCAAAGCTGTTCCTCTTTTACCATTTCATGCCTGGTTATCCACCCTCCTTGCCAGAGAAGAACACAGTGAAGGACATGATGGAGTAGCAGGGACTTTACTGCGGATGAGAAGGAAAGCATGAGTCATTAAAGGAAGACTTGTTGCCCAAAAAGTTGTCAACAATTTCATTGTGTGCAAGAAAACAAAGGGGAAAAACCTGCAAACAAATAATGGGAAACTTAACTGAAGAGAGGTCTAGTCCTGCTGCACGTTTCGAGTTCACACCTGTTAGGACCTTACCATGTGAAGGATGATGTCAAGAAAAGGGTAACCATGAAAGTATGGGGAGTTGTGTTTTGCTATATGGCTAGCCGAGCCATCCATGTCGAACTAGGAAACACACTATCAAACTGAGAGCTTCCTGTGTGCCTATATGAGGTTCACTGCTGTCTGAGGGCATCCTCAAAAAATTTGGTCAGATCCTGGCACAAACTTTGTCGGCTCAAAACCTGTATTGAAAGAGATGTACACTTACCTAAGACTACAGAATCAAGAATTACTGGAGGAATATGCTGCTAAGAATGAGACCACCTGGGTGTGCAAGATCCTTCCCGCCAATTCACCTCACCAAAATGGAGCTGCTGAAGCTGCTGTCAGAGTTACCAAGAGAGCCCTTCAAAGTCTTAGGAATGTAGAAGGCCTTACCTTCAGTGAGTTCCTGACAGTGCTCCAGCTAGCTGTCAACCTTGCAAATGAGAGACCCACTGATGCCAGAATTCAGAGCAGAGAAGAACGCCTCCAGTACATCATGCCAAACAACCTGTTGCTTGGTCAAGCCACAGAAAGTGGGGACTTTAAAACTGTTGACTACACCACCTACTCTTTCAAAAGGCTCACTGAAGTACAAACAACAGTCACCAACTTCTGGAAATCTTGGAGCCAACTTGCTGGTCCATATCTGTTCGTTTGCAGTAAGTGGCATACTGCTGACAGGAACGTCGCCGTTGGAGACATTGTTTGGATCTGTGATCAAAATGCACTAAGAGGGCAGTTCAGACTTGGAAAGGTCCCCAACGTGAATCCTGATTCCAGGGGTGTTGTCCGAGACTTGCACATGAGGGTCTCCCCAAGTTACAGCATTTCAGTGAAGAGTCCAAAATCTGCTGCCAGAGATCCTGAGTCAAGCACCGTTCTGCATCGGGATGTCCGACGCCTTGTGGTCCTTGTACCGGTAGAGGATCAAGTCGGATAAAGCTCACCTGCATGCAATCTTTCTGGGCAAGGCCACACAAAGATCGAGTGGGAGGTGTCATGCTGACTTGGCAGAGGTCGCCCTGTCAACTGTCTCCTCCTCATGCTGACTCTTCTGCACATTATCTGCACATGAGCTCTGCATGCAATCTTCTCATTGGCCAGAGGGGGCTTGTGAACCCTGGCATGTGTCCTCCTCCAGGTGAGCCAAACTAAGTACAACCAGTGGCTTCCTAATGCATGCAGCAGGCATTCAACCAGGGTGTGACAAACTGAGATGGCAGAAGTAAGCAAACAATTCAACTGTGAGAACTTTTGATCTTGACAGGCTATCGGTTTTCACCTGATACTGATGCTGACTTTATGATGATCCTGAAACTGGTCAAATAAAGACATCTGAGTGAATCCAAAAGTCTGGTCTTTTCAAGTGTTGACGCCTCACAGAAAAAGAAGCACTTGACAGTCTGGGGATGTTTTGCTGCTTCAGGAACTGGAAGGCTTGCTGTGATAAATGGAACCATGAATTCTACTGTCTACCAAAACATCCTGAAGGAGAATGTCCGGCCATCTGTTCGTCAACTAAAGCTGAAGCGATCTTGTGTGCTGCAGCAGGACAATGACCCAAAACACAGCAGCAAATCCACCTCTGAATGGCCGAAGAACAACAAAATGAAGACTTTGGAGTGGCCTAGTCAAAGTCCTGACTTGAATCCTATTGAGATGCTATGGCATGACCTTAAAAAGGCAGTTCATGCTAGAAAGCCTCAAATAAAGCTGAATTACAACAATTCTGCAAAGATGAGTGGGCCAAAATTCCTCTAGAGCGCTGTTAAAGACTCGTAGCAAGTTATCGCAAACGTTTGATTGCAGTTATTGCTACTAAGGGAGGCCCAACCAGTTATTAGGTTCAGGGGCCAATTACTTTTTCACACAGGGCAAATGTAGGTTTGGATTTTGTTCTCTCCCTAAGTAATAAAAACCATCATTTCATAACTGCATTTTCTGTTTACTTGTTATCTTTGACTAATGGTTAAATGTGTTTGATGATCAGAAACATTTTGTGTGACAAACATGCAAAAGAATAAGAAATCAGGAAGGGGGCAAATAGTTTTTCACACCACTGTAACCTGGCATCAGGCAGATCTCTATGTGTAGCCCTGTGTCGAGTCCATACATTTCTATCTAAAATCTCAGCAGCAGAAACAGTCTGAAAGAGGGAGGGCTATCTGGTAGAATATTTTGAGCTAATTTGGAGGACACGCAAGGTAGTGCCCGGCTGGCAGAGGCTACCATATTTTGTCTTTAGCCAATCACTGTAACTGAAATGACATGTGCGCCTGGAAAACAACAACAATTTGCTCGAGCTTCATTCATTCACTCACGCAGCAATTACCATGTCCTCGAGTTATTTCTGCCGGTTTTGCAAGAAGAATATGCGCATAAAGGGCAGGATTTCCCCCAGCGCTGTACAAGCCTGGCGGCCACCAGACTTAGCTTTGTCTACCGCCAGGCCAAGCATGGTCCCAACCCACCTCCCCGGCCCGAGTACAGCAATCACCAACCCCCCCACACCCACTCACATGGTCCAGCCCGCAACATTCCATCATGGTTGAAAAATAATATAGTTCAAAAATAAAGGTTGAATCAACGTCTTTTTTGGCCGTCACATCGTCTCATTTGGACGTTTAATAATTAGAATTTAGGCTTCTTATTACTGTATTACTGTAAAGTAAAATATATCATTACTGTAATATCATTAGTGGAATAAAAAAAAATATCTGTTTGCCATCTGAATAGAAAACTCATATCCTTGCCTGGATTTGACCCCGGGTTCCCGGTGTGTAAGGCCGTGAGCTATCTCTTTGACATTACATAAAGTCACGTAATGGATGTACACTTGCAACTGATTCGCAACATGCTATGTGTTAAACTATAGGTAACTAGCTGTCAAAATAACAATTATACATGTAGCTGTAGACCTGTACCGCAACCTTTTTTTAGCCATGGATCCTGTATTACTGTTGTGACTATTTAGTTAGCTGTTGGCGTCAACCAGCACGGCCATGTTTGTTTTGCTTAGCCGGGCACTCGATACTATCATGAAAACTAAGTCCCACCCTACAGCACAGTACTGACACGATTGTTCGGACAGTTTGAACTGGAGCGGTACAAGATAGATTCTCTTGAGTTTGGAAAACTCCAAATCTCGCAAGAAATCATCTTCCAGTGCAAGGTTAATGGAGACGTCTTATGGTAGAGAAATGAAGATTAATTTCTTGGGCAAAAGCTCTAATGCAGTCAGAATGCCAATTGCACACTCCTTCAAAAGTTGCAACATCTCTGGCATTGTGCTGTGTGATCAAACCACACTTTTCAGAGCTGCATGTGCAAAATTCATTAAGGCTAATCAGCTCCTTTATATGCCACACGTGTGAGGTGTGATGGATTATTTTGGCAAACACCGATTTAGACAGATTTGTGAACAGTATTTGAGAGTAATGGGTCTTTTGTGTATTTGAAAATGTTTCACATCTTTGAGTTCAGCTCGTGATACATTGGAGTAAAAACAAAGTGATGCATTATTTTGTTCAATGTATTTATTTTTCGTATGAGGTTCCCTTAAAATACATTGCTCTGGGGCTCACTGACAGAAGTGAGGCTGCTGTATACAGGTGCCACCGGTCTCTCTGACCACCACCAGCAGTCAAGAAAGGTGAAGTGCAGACACCCCTCTTTCTACTGAAAGAGAACCCTCAACGTGTACTTTCAACTTAAAATTGGGAGTGGGTACTGGCACCAGAGGTGAGGCTGACTAAACAGATTCCCCCCACCTTTGATCAACTTCCAAACATACGATAAGACATTAGACACCTAAGTAGTTTTGGACCCACCCCTTCCCAGAAATCTGTTCTCATGCTGGTGGATAGTACAACTGTTCCTGTCAGTTGTTGAGCCGGACCATTTCCAATGTGGTCCAGTAGTAGAAGTGCTGAAATCGACAATAAACCTTCACAAATCAAAAAAAGGTTACAGACCTCTATCTGTCTGATGTGAATCTCACTAACTGTATTGTTTGGGCACCTTTATGTTGTGTCAATATTACTATTGAAGCATTACGGGTAATTTATTTTAAATGGCTCTATTCATTCTTTTTCTTTATCCCATTTGATGTTTGTGCGTGTCCAGGATGCTTCGCTTGTGGGATGGAGAATGGATTTCGTGTCTATAACACAGATCCTCTCAAAGAGAAGGAGAAGCAAGGTAACAAGAACCTAACACCAAGCTTCATGGAAAGATTTGTTTTGGTTTTTGTCTTATTTTTTGCCTGCTGCCTGCTAATTTGCATTTCACCCCAGATAAATGATATATTGACCAGTGACGTGCAGTGAAGTTCATGACTGGGGCAGCACTGACTGCTCTGAAGTCAGACAAATATATGATCCCAAAATAGAAGCTTGTATTAGATTTTTGACCATGAATTAAATATTTTGCTATCTTAAAACGTCTCTATTATGATTTTACCCTTCCACTGTCCTATCAGGTGACCCTTCAAGGACAGAGGTTGGTTAAACATGGTTGATAGTTTATTCCTTGGTAAGGGTAAAGTGGTGCACTCCTAAATAAATGAATAATAAAAAAGCAATGCCCAATAATAAAGTTTAAAAAGGCCCAGCAGACCCCATTAACAATGTGGAAGGGTTAATTAATTTCATATCTGTGAGTTTTCTCAGCAGGGTGGCAGGGCTGTTCCTTAGAGATAGGATGAGAAGCTCAGTCATCCAGGAGGGTCTCGGAGTAGAAATGCTGCTCCTCCACATCAAGAGGAGCCAGTTTAGGCGGCACGGGCATCTGATTTGGATACCTCCTGGATGCCTCCCTGGTGAGGTTTTCTGGGCACGTCCAACCTGGGGGGAGACCTAAAGGAAGACCCAGGACACGCTGAAGGGACTATTGGCATATAAGCCTAATCTATACTTCTCCGTCTGCTTGAGACGGTTGCTCGCAATGCCATTGTCCGTCCTTTCGAGGTCTCTCCAGCAGGCTTGCAAGGACGGGACAGTCGAGTTCTCTTTTCTAAACATCCGTTCAACGAGATGGAGAAAGCAAGCTTGTTATTGGTCAGCCATTGCGTCCTCAAAAACATAAAGAGAGCCAAGGATATCTAGCTGCAGATACGGAGAAGCTTGAAGAATACCTCACGATAAAACTAAAAAAATATGAACGTTTTTATTCACCCATGACTGGAGGAGTAAAAATAATACGTAGCAAGCGTTTTATACATGGACGGAAATGACGGAAAACGTGGGTTTAGAGGTGGCGAGCGCATTAAGCGGTGGAGAAGAATGTGAGACCAATTTGTCCGTGTTAAGAAGTCTCAGAAATACAACAAAACCCCATAAACACAATAGTAAATGCACTATCTTGGACAGGATACCACAGAACAACACTATGCCCTCTGTTGTCCTGGTGGGGAATTGCTTTGCAACACTCCCAGGAGATGAAGAAGTCAGAAAGCAAAACGTCTCTGTCCAAGCATGCGTGTCTCTCGTGGAGCTGACGGAGAAGTATAAATTAGGCGTTAAGATTCCCCCGGAGGAGCTGGCCCAACTTGCTGGGGAGAGGGAAGTCTAGGCCACCTTGCTTAGGCTACTGCCCTGGTTGATTTTACCTCGCCAATCTGATGGGCATAATTTCAGCTGGCCAATCAGTCTGTAGTGTCACCTTGATTCCAGTCCAACTGCTTGGGAGGAAGCCTGGAAAAAAAAAGAGTCGTTTCGGAACCAAAACCGCATATCTGACCCGTGTGTGAAACCAAATTCTGGTCCCGTACGTTACTGTAAGGGACCATACTGACACTAAAGTGCAAGCTCCATGTCATGGATTTTATCAATATGTTTATCAATACCCCATTTCCTATAGTGAAGAGAGAAGGAGACAATGAGCAGACAAGTCAAACAGTTCTAACTGTGGCATGATGCACGAGGCAAAATGCCCTGAACATCCGGTCACAGTTTATTTATAGTGAGATGTGAGTGAGTGAGTGAGTGAGTGAGTGAGTGAGTGAGACATTTTTCTTGATGCACGAGGCAAAATGCCCCAACATCTGTTCACAGACTTCATGAGAGAGAGAGAGAGAGAGAGAGAGAGAGAGAGAGAGAGAGAGAGAGAGAGAGAGAGAGAGAGAGAGAGAGAGAGAGAGAGAGAGAGAGAGAGAGAGAGAGAGAGAGAGAGAGAGAGAGAGAGAGAGAGAGAGAGAGAGAGAGAGAGAGAGAGAGAGAGAGAGAGAGAGAGAGAGAGAGAGAGAGAGGAGAGAGAGAGAGGAGAGAGAGAGAGAGAGAGAGAGAGAGAGAGAGAGAGAGAGAGAGAGAGAGAGAGAGAGAGAGAGAGAGAGAGAGAGAGAGAGAGAGAGAGAGAGAGAGAGAGAGAGAGAGAGAGAGAGAGAGAGAGAGAGAGAGAGAGAGAGAGAGAGAGAGAGAGAGAGAGAGAGAGAGAGAGAGAGAGAGAGATTAGGTTCTACTTAGTTAGAGCTAATTTAAACTAGTCACCTACAGAACTGTTGCCACAGCCCCACCCTGTGTGTGCAAGAGCAGGCAGCGTGCACCGGAGTCTATAAATCCCAGCACTGCCCCTATCAGTTAGGACACTGCCTGTCTTCTGTAATGATTTAAATTACATGTTATCTAATAAGCCATAAGGCGTAGGATTCCATAGTAAATATGAAATCAACCTTATGGATCTGTGAGGTTATTTTAAACCAGAAGATTGGAACTTTTTAATGTAGGGATTAAATAGCAGCTTCATATTCACACTCAGAGACAACAGAAGAGAGTCAAGTTTAAAAGTTTAAAAATGTACTAAAAACAAATTGAACTAGACTGACTTTAAATGTATGGTGTAACTAAGGTGAATGAGACAGAGAATGGTGTGACATTCTGGCAGGAACTGTTGCAGCAGTTGGAACAGCAACATATTTTATCCAGCTTGTCGTTGGTTCTTTCGGTTGAAGACAAAAATTACGGATTGGCCACTCCGACACTTCTCTAGAACACTTTGAACTGGCGTTCGAGATGACATGGGCATAGTTTTATACTTCGGATGTTTTGGTTTATGGTCGAATGAAAAGTTGACAGATTTACCAAACACACATCAAAACCATGCCTCCGTCAGATCTGGCAGATTCTGATTGGATCAGTCAAAGCAATGTGTCATTTCTTTTAACGCTACGTGAGATCAGTCCT